ACACACACACACACACACACACGCACACGCACACTACACGCACACACACAAACATGCGCATACATACACGTACAATATGTAAATATATACAATATATACAATATATAAATATATATACATATATACATACATATTATCACCAACGTAACTAACGTGCATCCCTAACTGGACTCTTGTGATCCGGACACTGCTGATCGGCTGTGACACCCGCCTGAGTTTCATTCCAACAACTCATTCCGTCCCAAGTCATCGGACAAGATGGCGGCGATGATGATGATGGTGATGATGATGATGGTGAGGATGATGATGGTGATAGTGGTGATGATGATGATGATGATGGTGAGGATGATGATGATGATGATGGTGATGATGATGAGGTTGTTGGTAGTAATGTTGATTTGTTAGATGACGATGATGATGACGACGACGACGACGATGATGATTTTTGTTGTTGCTCCATGCAAATCTTATAAACTTGATTCCTACAGCATTCAACACTTGCCCTGTTTAATTAGTAGATGGAGATGATAGTGGTAGTATTGATGATGATGATGATGACATACATGATGATGATTGTTATAATAACGAAACGATACTTTTGATAATAGTCACAAGGATGATGACGATGATGATTATGGTGATAATACAAAGTGTGTGTGTGTGCGTGTCTACGTCGTCAGGTGGTGTGTATTTATGTGTGCGTGTACGTGAGTTTGTTTGTGTTTTTGCGTGTGCGTGTGTATGTGTGTGCGAAACATATTTTATGGCCCGAAGGTTTAATTATGAGTAAAAAATAACATGTAAGAAAAAAAATGATAAAATAAAAACAAAATGATGGCAAAACATCTTTAATGATGATAATAATGATGATGAAATGATGATGAGGCAAGTAATGAGGGTTATTATTGCATGTATAACAATGTTAATAATCGTGTTATGGCTCTAATAATCTTTAATTACATACGTACATTATTCATTTTATATATATATATATATATATATATATGCGTGTGTGCGTGTATGTGTGTGTGTGTGTGTGCGTGCGTGTGTGCGTGCGTGTATGTATGTGTAATTATTGGTGAAAATCACAGCATGTTCCGCGTTATTGCGATCATGCTTAAAATATTTTTCAACAAACAAGTTTAAGAATTTCACGAAGCAAATTTTATAAGCACGAGAATTAAAGGATTGTTCGCCGTTTCGTCTGTATTTATTTTCCTTGGATGAAGTATTTTTTTTTTTGGTATTGAGTTGTCTCACTTTTTGTTGTCGATGTTGCGTTTGCTGTTCTCCTATAGTTGATGTCATATAGGTTTTTTTGGTTTTTTGTTGCTGTTGATGTCGTTTTTCCTGTCATTAATGACGTCATTATCCACTCTTTTGCCAGGGCAATCACACTCTACGCAAGCCTAAATGACGCATGGTGCTGGGGTGTGAAGCCAGACAAAATGTTTCTCATTGTTTAGTAATTGAGATAAAACGCTAGTGGAGGTGCTAAATCTGCGTCATTATTTCATAATAATAAAATAAATATAATAAAAAGATGACGGTAAAGAGGAAAAATAAATATAACAAAAGAGGAAAGAGATAGCGATGACAACGAACTCTAACAAAAAATCGCCATATTATGTTTTATAATAATGAAACGATGAAATATTAACGCTAGTCATCATCATAAAGACCGGTTAGTAATCAGTGCGTATGTAAGCACCATTTACGAATAAGATGGATTGTCTTTGGAAAAATATGTCTGTTGTGTTGCAATGATGAAAATGATGATTAGATGAGATAGTATCATTAAAAGTGCTGATGGGATCTGATGATGACAACCAAAAAGTGATTAGAAAATGTGATCAACTATATGATAAATCAATGCTTTTCTAGTTTTGTCTCGCTAAATTATTGAAATTTACATTAATTCAAACATTTTCATTTGAGTCACATCAGTATTAATCTCATCATCAACGCGAGCTTCGATAATGATCATTAAAATCCTTTTTTCACATCAACAACATATTGTTGTAATACTTCTCTAACACTCGCAACAACCAACGCCGATTTTATAACTTCAATAAATTCTATATTTCAACACCAGTGTTGTAGTTTCCGACTATCGTCAAGTGTTCGTTATTCCGTAGGTTCAAGATTTCCGATAAACGAACACAACTGCTTCAAACGCTAACTTTTTTGAAAGTTTATTGAAATGCTAACTGTAATAGAAACACTAAACTAATCCAAGTAACTACATCAATCAATATTGCGACTTCGCTTTAAACCTTGCTGCTAAAACCTCGCTAATATATTAGATATTCTCACCATCCAAAGATTACAAATATTGATAAGATAACAAATAATCAAGATAATAATAATTAATTGAAATTAATTATATAGTGCAATTCGATCATTTCAGCGGTTATAACGATAAACAACAAAAAATACAAGAATATAATTCAATATATAAACTATTATAAATAGTATATAAATAAACTAATATAAATAATAACTAATATAAACTAATATAAATAGAATATATAAACAAAAAATGAACTAAGATGCAGAAAACAACAAAGTTAAATTAAAAATTGAATAAATTCAACTGCAAAAGAAAAAAAAATTTGTTCTCATTCAATAAAAAAAACAAAATCAAAAAACCAAACCCAGCAAGCAAAGACTAACATACTGACATCAATAAACTAATCCACCCGATGTCGCCATTTTCTGACATCATCATCCATCAAGAATGACGTCAGATGGAAAAATTAAAGTGGTTTTTTCCACTCTTTGTCGTCCTCTTCATCATCATCTCGTCATCCAATCATTAAGAAGCAGCCATATGTGGAAATGATTTTAAATAGTGTGAAGTATGTAATGCAAATAGTGAGCGTTGATGAGTATATTACATTTAATAATGAAAAATTACTAGATAGACATTACTAATTATTAATATTGTTATTACTAACCTTTACTTCTACTGTTACTAGTATTACAACATTACAAATCATTATTAACAATATTACTAATCGTATATGATTTTGTGCTGATTATTTGTGTTCGTATTTCAACATTCATACAGCTAGAACAATCGTTCGTATTAGTAATTACTATATATATTTAGCGTAAATAAAGTTTAATAAATGGTATTGTTACTTACGCTAAAAACCTTATTTAAGGTTTGACATTTAAATGTTAAGAAAACCTTTTAAAATTATTTAAATTTTTTGAAGTTTTGAGTAACTAAATTATAATGATTTAAAAAAATTTTTCATGATTATAAAGTGATTTTTTTAACGCATTAATTTAAAAAAATGTGATATTTTTTGGAAAGCCGAAATTTGTCATAAGTTTTGAACATTCATTAAATTTTAACAGCGTATCTATGAATAGAGAAAAATACTATACAAAACAATAAAAGTGCTGATGCATTATCTCGAGAAGAAGAAAAAAATTCTTTTTTTTTTGCCACGTGACAATGACGTCATCCCTAATTCATTTCATCTCACTCTGAAATAGTAAAAAATTTTAGACGAACAAGAAAATGAAATAAAAATTTGAAAAAGTGAAAAATTATTAATAAAATTTATATAAAAAAATGAGTAAAAATAAGTAATGGAAGAATAACTAAAATGATTTGAAATAATAAAAAAACAAAAGAAAAAAAGATGAATAAATTGAATGGATTGAAACTAATTTAACGCCCTTCAAATCTTATCGCTGTGGATGCGTGAAGCGGAATTCACACAGACGTAGACGCAGACGCAGACTGAATGAATGAATGAATGAATGAACTAACGAACGAATGAATGAATGAATGAATGAGTGAATGAATGAATGAATGAATGAATGAATGAATGCATGAATGAATGAATGAATGAATGAATGAATGAATGAATGAATGAATGAATGAATGAATGAATGAATGAATGAATGAATGAATGAATGAATGAATGAATGAATGAATGAATGAATGAATGAATGAATGAATGAATGAATGAATGAATGAATGAATGAATGAATGAATGAATGAATGAATGAATGAATGAATGAATGAATGAATGAATGAATGAATGAATGAATGAATGAATGAATGAATGAATGAATGAATGAATGAATGAATGAATGAATGAATGAATGAATGAATGAATGAATGAATGAATGAATGAATGAATGAATGAATGAATGAATGAATGAATGAATGAATGAATGAATGAATGAATGAATGAATGAATGAATGAATGAATGAAGGTAACAATAACAATAACAATATTTTATTTGGCCACAAAATTTGATCTAAATTTTTGAATGAAGGTAAAAAACGAATGAAGGCAAAAAACGGTGATGGAGTTAATGAATGAATAAATAAGGAGTGAAGGATTGGATGAAAGATATCAAAGATGATATTAAAATGATGAGGATATCAAAAATTGTATGATATAGAGATGATAGAACGAATGAATGATATGAATGATGACGTGAAAATGACGTCAGAATAGGCGGTGAGACTGAAAGGTATTGTGATACTATACTACAGATCATTGGCACTCATCCAGTTAACATGTAGTGCTGGTTAGCTTCGAGATTCAACATCGACTTTGATGTCATTTTCGTGTCGTGTTGCGTCGTATGGTGTCGCGTCGTGTCGCGTTGGCTCCATTAGATACGATCTTTTATTATTTCGATAAATATCTGCTTGTCAGAAAAATATTCCATTGGATATATTGATTTTTTTTTTGTTTTGATGTGCCTAATGATAATAATGTCGATAATTTAATCAAAAAGTTTGAAAGAACAATGTTTGCAGAGATGTTATTAAAAATTTCAAACGATAAAGATATTGAAAATGGCATAGACAGATATTATTTCAACAGTGAAACATCGCTAAGATCAATATGAAATAATTAAGAAACAAGGAGGAATTTCTAACAAGAAATAAAATCACATAACATAAATAATAGCAGCATTAACAACAATAACATCAATAACAATAACAAAAACACAATAAAACAATAACGAGAAATATAACGATACGATCAAAGATATCGTAACAACAACAACAACAACAACAACAACAACAACAACAACAACTACAACGACAACAACAACCGCAATTGAGGCTCATATAAATAGTCGATGAACATGAACAGAATCGTGGTACGCTAACGTAAAATCTTTATTTATGCTCGTCCCCCCAGCTTATTGACTTGAAAATATTGAAATGCGAATTTAATTCCACTTTTCGTTCGTCGTATGGTTATTTTCTTAATATTATTTTAGATCTTGATTAACTGATTTGTGAGACTTCATTGCAGATGTTGTTGATGATGGGGATTGTGACATTGTTGTTTCTGGTGTTGTTATTTCAGTTAATGTTTTGCCTGCTTACATCAATGATATTTATTACTATTGTTGTTGTTAATGAAATTATTATTTAAAAATATCTAGCAACAACAATTATAGCAGCAGAAACAACAACAACAACAGCAACAAAAACAACAACAACATCAACAACAACAAGAACAATGGCAACAACAACAACATCGACCGTAAAAAGTGAAACGAAGACTTGTGATATTGAAGCAACAGGTTCACAGGCTTTCAAAGCAACACACGCCAAAAAGCCAACACCTATAAAATGAAAAATCGCAACCTCCTGAATAGAGAAACACACGGACACACACATGCACTACACACACACACGAACCACACATCACACACACACGCACACACACACATTACACACACAAATATAGAAAAATAAAATCAAAAAAGTAAATCATTGAATGAGAGAATGAGATAATGAATGGATGAATGAACGAATGAGTGGAAAAAAGAATGACTAAATAAATAACCGAAACACCTACTTGATGCATTTATGCCAGCTTATGCAATCACCTCCTAATAGATGGCATATGACGTCATGATGACGTTGCAGCATAGGATCGAGTCTGATGATGAATCCGTACGATGCGTAGAACTTTTCATCTTTCTCCTCATACGTGCCGTCGTCGTAATAATCGTCGTTGTCGCCATCCTGGTTGTTGCTGCTGCTGCTGTTTTTAGTGTCGTTGTGGTAGAACGCGCTTGTTATAATGTTGTTTGAGTTGAAGTTGATGTTACTTTTAATGTTGTTAACGTCATTATCAACTATTTTATCTCTGCTATTGACTTTTTCATTATTGTTTTCATGTTGTTGTTGTTGTTGATGATGTTGTTGTTGTTGTTGCTGCTGCTGTTGTTGTCGGTGCATGTACTCCAGTTGTCTCAACTTTCTGGTTTCCTCTCTACGTTGTATATCTTCTTGTAGAATGGAGTAATTTTTTAGTAAATTTGCCCTCGCGAGTTTGTCATCTTGAGGGAAGAACAAGTTGACGATGGCATCGCTAGGAGTCTTCACGACGCGTAAGTAGCTATAGTCGAGAGACGCCAGGAAAAAGTGGTCGGAGTCGATGGGTGAGAACATAAACTTGTAGCAAGCTGTGGACATGTGTCGTCTGTATGTCGCCAGGTCGTAGTATTGGCGTTTGAAGCGACATTTTAGATTAGGTTGGTGCTGGTTTTGTTGTTGTTGGTTTAGTTGTTGGCTTGGATGTTGTTTGAAGTGAGGGTTGAGATGTTCATCTTTTGGCGACGACGTTGAAGAAGATGACGATGCAAACGATGATTCGATAAATTTTATCTGATGAAGATTTTTAAAAATTAAGTAGGAGTTAGATAAATTGAATAACGAGCCGTTGTACGTGTGTATCATATTGCCTTTGCGTGTCATCATATAACGAGCCGTTGTATGTGTGATCATGATCATGTTGCCTTTGCGTGTCATCATATGGAAAGATATATAAGTACTTATGCGCTATTATAAACAGACGAACGTGATCATATGAGTAAAAGCACGCGCGCACACACAAACAAACACACTTACACACCATCAAACATGTGTCTGTATGTATATATGTATATATGTATGTATGTATGTATGTATGTATGTATGTATGTATGTATGTATGTATGTATGTATGTATGTATGTATGTATGTATGTATGTATGTATGTATGTATGTATGAATATATGTATGACACTTGAAACGTGGCACAGCTTCATTTTATAAGATATATTTAAATTATTAAGCAGCCAATTTCCATAAGAAAGAGCAAGGATGTAAAAGAAGAGGTGAACATGTAAAATCAAAACAAACAAACAAATTAACAAACAAATAAATAAACAAACAAACAAACTAACTAACTAACTTACAAACGAACAGACCACAAAAGAACGTACGAACAAATATTCTTATCAGTATAATTCAAACTGCATAATAAAATATATACCCATATATACAATAATATTTATAAAAATAAAAAAATTAAGTGTGAAATATGTAAAATTTTGCCCAAAATAACGCAGAACATGATGCTATTGTCATAAGAGTAGATACAAAAAGCACATTTAATAGATGAATGGAGGCTGATGTTCCATATAAAAAAGCAATAAAAAGCCATGAAATACTTTATCAACGGCAACATCTGTAATCATTAGTTGCTACAGTTGCTACTTCTACTACTATTACTACAGCCGTTACTGCTGCTACTACTTCCACGACAACTACTGCTGATACTACTACTACTACTACTACTACTACTACTACTACTACTACTACTACTACTACTACTACTACTTCTACTTTTACTACAACTACCACTTTCAACTACTACTACATAAAAAGCAGCAATAATAATTAAAACAGAAAAAAACAATAAAAAAAATTGATCTGGAAAATCGAAAGCCCATCGTTAGAATAATAACATTTACGATAAACAACCAAAGCCAAACATAAACAATAGCACAAGAAAACAACAACAACAACAATAACAACAGCAACAACAACAACAACAAACAACAACAAACATCAACAACAACAACGCTTCACATCGTTTTTATGTCGTTTTATCACGAGAAAGAGGAATTTGAATAATAATGAAGCCATTTATTGCGATCGTCAATGAACCGGTTTAACATTTTATGTAAATAAATTATGTTAATAATATAAACATTATTGGATTTTTAAACTCACAATTATTATTATTATTATTTGTTGTGGAAATTGAAATATCGAAGAATTTCTGTGAAATGTTGAAATTTAGAAATCTTTAAATAATTTGCTCATCGTGATAAACTTTAAAACTGTTTAGTTTCATTTTGAAAGACTTTGCAAGCGAATGAATGAAAGTGTACGTGAGTAGTTTACACATACACACAAACACACCACACGCACACAAACACACACTAATTAAGGCAAGTGTACGCAATCCAAGCATGCAGACACGCATGTTTGGATAGATCCGCACGCACATCTAGACATACGCTAGTGTATTTTAATAAATGTTAAACAGGTATTGGATAAACAAATTTTCATACGTGTTCTCGCACACATTTGGAAGAATACAAACAAAACAAAACACACAGCATAAATACAAAGACAAATATAAAATTGGAAGGAAAATATAGAGGGGGACCATGCGAAAACAAGAAATTTTTTCCAATATGCATACACACACGACCGCATACAGGCACACGCCAGAATACACACACCCATTCACACACCTACATACACACCCACAAACTTTACAAAACGAAACTGGACAAAATATCATTTAACAACAAAAATCCTATGATAATAATGTCACAATGATGGCAAGAGTGAAGTTTTTTTTATTAAATTTCAAGTCTCAATACTCACCTCATAAACACACGACAACATACACGTCTAGGTACCAAAAGATACAAACACACAAACACACACCCATCAATAATAACACGACAAACATGCAATAATCCTTAAAAATTTCTTCACATTAATAACAAAGGCTATTATAGTTACAAAACGCACCGCGCTTAAAAGCGAGTCTGCTATGACGGTCACGTTTTCCGGCTAAAAATATGGCGTTTAATTAATTAATGAGGCGCTTAACTGATGGTGATAATCATTATAACGTCATTTGACCGCGCCACTTAAAGGCATGCCAAAATGATGATGATGAGTTTGAAAGAGCCAATGTTTGCTGTTGTAGGACGTGTTGTTGTTGTTTTAGTTAGTTGATGCTATTTGTGTTGTTGTAGTCAATTGATGCCGTTTGTGTTGTTTATGTTTTTGGCTTTGTATCGATTTAGAAATAGTTGTTTTGTGAAATTAAAATTAAATAACTCATTGAAATCAGAAATTTACCATCTACCGTTAGAAAACTCGAAAAATTAAATAGGAAGCTTATTAACTAACGCGGTACATGCTGGGATTTTCACTAATAATTTATACACACACACACATATATATATATATATATATATATGTACATATATAATATATATATTATATATATATATATACACAAAGAAATGTCTACAATGGCACAGAGGTTGGAAGTTGTTGGTGATTCTTATCTACCTGGAATTACTTTCGTACAGAAATTACTACTAAACATCTTTCCCGTTAATCTTTCGTAACAGTCATTTATGTTGTCGTTTAATAAGAACATTAACATCATTGTAATCAGATATCATCATCGCCACCATTTTCATCGTCGTCGTCGTCATCACCTTCGTCATAGAATCGTCATCATTATTTTAATAGTGAGTTAACGAAGAGTTTCTTCAAGAGAAAATTACAAGGCTCCCAAACAATTTGCCCGCTTGAAAGATCTGCCTGCTACTCGTGATGGCGATGATACGACGAAGACGACGATGATGATGATAAAAAATAATGATGATGCTGATGAATGAATGAATGGGTGCCTTAGTGAATGACTAAATGAATAATCAAACGAATGAATGAATGATGAAAAAATGAATGAATGAAGAAATAAGTTGATGATAATAAGAATTATGAAAACGGTGAAGTTTATGATGTTGATGATGGTTAAGATGATAATAATGGTTTATGATAATTATCATCATCAATATCAACATCATCACCAACATCATCACCATCCATCCTCATTATCATCACCATCATAAAAACGTGATGACCAACATGCCTAACAACTAGTCCTTTGCACATGTTTTGTACTTCCAATGACAAATGACAACCTCCAAAACTGTGATACGTGTATGCATAATCTAACGCACGTTTCAAACACACCACACAAACACAAACACACACGCACACACACGAATACACACACACACAAACGTAACGTAGGCACAAACATATCTGCAATATATACCTGTATATATAAGTATGTAAGTGTTTGTATATGTGTATGTAAATGTGAATATGAGTGTATGCGTGCGTATGCGTGTGCATGTATGTGCGCGTATAACACGTGGTTCGCTCCACACACACAAACTCTATTCCAATTAGAACAGAATCAAAATGAATGAAATGATAGATGGATGAATGATCGAATTAACGTTTGGTATGATTGAAACAATGATTGATTGAATAAATGTTGGTAGGCGAAACTAACAAACCAACGAACGAATGAACGAAAGAACAAACCGACAAACCGACAAAACAAACGAACCGGTAAAAGATGAACCAATTAAAAGAAAAACATGGTTTTTTGTATCTTTAATTGGGCAATCAACAGTTAAAAATTAGTTTAACGAAAATTATTTCTGACAATTGAAATCTTGATATACAAAAATTTGGTCAATTATTAATTTCAATAACATCATCCGCAAGAACGTAAAACATGCTAAAAATTTTGCAAGCAAAAAAAATAACCCATCTACGGACCAACGAGCGAGCATAAATTAGTTAAGAGTACTGAAAAATTTATAAACCAGCCTTAACTAAAACAATAACTCACACAAAAAGTCTTCTAAAAAAGTCACATATAAAAGATAAACCAAACACCAACAAAGCCAACGAAGGACACGAAACAACAAAAAATTTTAAACTCGTCTTTCTCGGGCTCGGCATGAGTTTGACAGCAGAGATAGATAGTTGTGAGAATGAAACATTACAAACATACGCACGAGAGGGTATTCATCATGATGAAGCAAGATAAAGAAACAAGCACTGCCTACCTACCTACCAACCTACCTACCTACCTACCTACCTACCTTTATCTGACAGCCCGTAAAAAACTAACAACATGTTACTAATGGCTTTCTCTTTATTGCAGACAAATTCCAGTATTAGAAAGCAAATATACTTGGTATAATTGAACAAAGTTTTGATATCCGTTGGACTGTTTTTGTATTTGTGAGTATGTGTGAGTGTGTGTGTGTGTGTGTAAAAATGTGTAGTGTGTGTGTGTGTGTAAAAATGTGTGCGTGTGCAATTGGTTTTAATGTAGATAACAGATGAAGTATACATTTTTATTTGCCACTCAGATGTCGATGAATTTTTGCAAAGGTTTCTGATAAATGAGAATACGTTATACATTGCCATGTATTTGTTCATCATATGCGAGTGTGTATGTGTGCATCACATGCGATTGTAGTGTACGTGTATTAATGTTGTATAAGACGTACAGAACGTTAAAAAGAAACCTCGAAGAGAGAGAGAGAGAGAGAGAGAGAGAGAGAGAGAGTGGGAGAGAGAGAAAGAGAGAGGAGAGAGAGAGAGGAGAAAAAGAGGAAGAGGAAAGAAAGAGAGAGAAGGAAAGAAACAACAAAGATCATACAAATTCTCTCTAAATGTAAATGGCAGATGTCGTCGCTAAAAATGGAAGACGAGGAGATTATTCTGCTTCATGCACTCTTGTATGTAATTTTCAAAAGCGTTAGTTCTCCGCCGCGAAAGTGCAATCACTCTTACTACATCTACTTTTGGAGAAACACTCTCGAGTTAAATATTTATGG